CGTGAGTGTCTGCGGGGTGGGCACGCTGCAGCCATGGGACGCTGCGTTGGGGTTTCCTACAGGCAGAGGCGTGTTGGGCGCGCTCAGCTCCCCGTCATGCAAGCGGTGTGTCCTCCCTGGGCTATAGGGATGGGTTGGTTTGAGAGCAGAGTGCTTAGCCATTCCTGCCAAAGCTTTCAGCCCTGCTCCCCGAAAGCCTTGCACCCTCCCGGGGGCTCCTGCTCCCTCTGGCTGAAGCAAGCACACACCTGGATGCTGGTAGTCTTGTATAACCTTGGCTGCAGGATGACAGCTCGGCTTTCACCCACCCTGCTGTCCTCAACGACCTGCACAGGTCCCCAGCAAGACCCAGACCCTGAGCCTGAACATACTGGATCCCTGCAGTGGCAGCGAGCAGGTACTCTGCCCTGCTGCCCACAGCATCCCAGGCACACCAGCAGCAGTATCTCCCTACGGCTCCTTGTACCTGCACAGCTGATACTCCACTAAAGAGATGCATCTTCAGCCAGTCTACAGTGTAAGTCCTGCTTCTCTCGCTGTACAAGCAGCACCCTGCTCTGGCAGAAGGGCTGACCCCAGATGTGTCCCTCCTCAGTGCTTTTGTTAAACCAGTCTCCTAAAACATCCTCAGACGGAAAACCAAAAATCCAAACTCTAATTCACCTGGTGCCTGATACAAAAAATATAAAACCCAGAAGAATCCTCCCATTGCTATTTCCTTTTGTTGGATTATTTAAATGGGTTGTAAAGACATTTAAGTGACAAATTCTTTCTCTGTAGTGGAACTAAATAAGGGTGGGAACACACCACCTTGCATTCTCTTATTAGTCACACGAAACACTGTACTGCACAGAAATTAATAGAGATACAACCATTTAAGCCTCAAAGAAGACAGCAGATAGACAGTCACACCACTCAGCCACCCAGGTTCTCACTGATGCATACTAACTTGCTGTCTCTTTCAGATTAGGAAAAGTTGAGAAGTTTGTGTAGAAAAACCTACCAACGCTTGCAGTGGGTGTCATGCACAGAACTGACCCTGCACACCATGCATTGAAGCGTGGAAAGATGAACAAAAGGGATATTTCATTAGTGAAGCTTCAGTGTTAGAAATAACTTTAACTAAAAAGCAGGTATTCTCTTTGCAGCATTCAGTATTTAAGCACATGCAAACAGATTCTGCACTTTGGTACATAAATAGTTTAAACTCAGTTTTAAGAGATCATAGCAAACCAAATTAATTCTTCAGTTCTTGGGTAGTAGAGAATATATTTCTTCTCCCACCCAAGTATTAAATGATACAACTACCCTAGAAATCAGTCTTGTTTGAGGTTTTTTTTCATATCAGGTATGCTGATATCTTTCTGATCATGTCAGCAGAAAACAAATTCCCCTTAGAGGAACATCACACTCATGTTAAAACTGACTTTCCAAAAGAAATTTACTCCCGCAAGCAGGGACTGGGATTCAAAGTCTCTAGTTCAAGCTGAAAGAGGCAGGTTTTTTCCTGGACTGGAAAAAATTGTAGTGATGATGCCATTCGCAGCAGACACCCTGACTTTCCCCGCCGCGGGCAACCCATGATGCTGATATCTCAATAACTGAACAGGAGAAACTAAGAAAAGCCACAGCTCGCTTCCCCTCCCCACGGTGTGAGCTGCTTCGCCTTCCAGAGCACTGCAAAGGCTGAGACCAGGTCTGCAGTCTGATGCACAGGGGGAAACGGGGATGCGTAACGTAAATTCATCAGAGATCCGTCCTCTGACTGGAAATTTGCTGCTCTGCCCAGCATTAATGTCCTCAGACGAGAGCAGGTGCCAGCGAACAGACCTGTTACGCATCAGCCCTGCGCATAATTACATTGCCACAAGACAGGGCCCAACAGCACAGTGCGAGTGCTGGGTAAAAGCCAATTTATGGCGCTCGCATCAGCAATGCGTGTCCTTATGTCAACTCTGGCAACCGCGACCTCGAGGAAGAGGAGCGCGTAGCCAGCTTGGGGATTTGGCGTTCTCAAAAGGTGTCGGTGTTTCCTGAAGAAGGCTGTCGCTTGGCACCTCAGAGCTGCGGGAAGGTCATCTCAGCCCACCCAGCCCCTCCAAGAGCCGCAGGTCAGGCTGCTGCCTACTCAAGTCCCTCCTTCTGTCTCTCTGTACAAGGCTCCACTTTCCTGGAAGAACATCTTGGCAACTGCTGAGCTTCGAGTGTCTCCAAGTGCTCTTGTGACAGAAAGGCCACACGAGCACAGGATTTAGGTCTCAGGTCTCTAGACCCACGCTCCCACCTGGGACACAGTTTGGTCTCAGTATAGGACTGTCTCTAAGACTTTTCCCCTGACCCCAACGAATGGCAAGGCCAAGGTACAGGTCCACTGTGTTCACCTTGAGGGGCCAGCACAGAGAAATACTTTGTATATTTTGTAAATATTATCTGGCAAGTGAATACAGCATTAAACATTAAAAACATTGAGCATTCATTTTCTTACGATGCTCTGCAATGATAATAATGATACTAAAAAAATCAGCTATCAACTCTAGAATATTCCTAATTGAGCCACTTATAATACTTACTACTCTAAGCAGGTTTTGTTTTTTATTTGGCTGCAGTGAATAGAGGTTAATTGGCTAGTCAGCAGTCACATCTGCCACATCAATATTTCCAGTCCTATATGAATTACTGAACTGCATCTTTCAATTTTACTCTGAGACCTTACAGGTACAATAAAAGCTGGGAGTTAAATTGCTTTTAAAAAGCTTGGGCTATCGTACTGGTCAAAAGACAAGCAAGAGGGAAATATGTTCCTTTAAAGAGGATTATCTAATTTGTGTTTACTAAAGATGAACATTCCCTCTATAAATATCATGGCTGCTGGAATACATAGGTCACTGAGATAGAAGCTCAGAAAGATACCTGCAGCTTCAAGTGAGCAGGCATAGAGGTCCACAAGACATTTTAACATGAGTCCGTAAGAGTGCTACGCAAGAGTCAAAGAATTAATTTGGGATTAACCAGCTGAACCATAAGGAGGAGAAACAGAAAGTATGAATTCAAGAAACATGCAGATATTTTTTAGTTTGACCACTTAAAAAAAAAAAAAAACCCAAACCAAACAAAAAAGGCTAAGAAGGGATCTTTGCAAGTGAAAAGCTCTGAATTGTAGCAGGTGAAAGCAAAAAAAAAAAAAAAAAGTCAAACAACAAACATTTCATCCATTTTTAACACAAAACTGCACACCGACACTCTTTTGCTAAGGACTACAAATCTGCTCATTAACTCAACGCTTAGGTCATAAAATAGACAACTGTGATGCTGGGGAAAACAAGGGGACACTTACCTGTAGGGATGAACGTAGGCTGTTGCAACTGCATGTTGGCTAGAGCCTGTTGGTAGTGGAAAACGCTTGGGTTAAAGACTGTGGTGGCACCATTGTTTTTTTCAAGTGCTGGCCTCTTTGGTAAAGGTTGAAGTGCACCAGGCGGCAGGGCCTGTGGATAAGGCAGTCATTAAAGACAGGTGGAGTGAAAAAAGGGGCCCAGATGTAGATCAAGCATGCAGTAAATAATAGGGGGTCTTGGCTGCAAATCACCTGCAATGGTATCGACTTAGCGAGACAGGAAAGAGAAGAGCAGCTAAATCACAGTAGAAGTAGTAGGTGAAACCACAACTTCACTAGGTAGGCAGTTAGTAAATGGGGCAGAGTCGACACGAGGAGGAGGAAGGGGAGAGGTGATCACCTGGACAGGATCCTATGCAGGCAACAAGCATTTAAAAAAAAAATACCAGGTAAGAGAAATATAGTGGATGACTATTTAAAAACAAGAAGATAAGCATAACAAATGCCATGGAAAAAAAGGGACGCTTGCCTCTGCCTGTTCCAACGCCTGCCTACATGTGTGTGTGCACGTGTGGAAGCTTGCACACCTGTGTGCAACTGACCCATGTGCCCAGGTGGCAAAGCAGCAGCTGTTGCCAATTACTCACATAACGTTATATTCACAGTAAAACGCATTTCCACTTGTTAGTAGAGAGGCTGAGCAACACGGTCAATAACAGACCTGATTCTTCACCACTCGCACCAGTGGCGCAGGTCACCACTGGCAGATTCGGACTTGCCCCCGACTTCTAGAAGGTGGCCTCCAACAGTTAAATGCTGCTTGCTCTTTATTAACAGTGGAAAAAGCCATTGACAAATCTGGTGTTCGAACAAGATTTGGGTGGGCCTTGCTATCAGGCAAATCCTTTCTTTTCGCTCTATCACACCACCGGGCTTCTTCCAGCCCATCAAACCTGTTTCATGATCAGACTTGGTAAAAAGCATTAACCCAACTCAGGAACTTTTCTCAGTGAGTTACTCATCATTCACCCAAGCATGTCTCAACAGCAAAGTAGTATGTCAGGTTCTTAGGAGACAGGAATGTTTCTAATGATTTACAGCTTCTCATTGTACCCAAGCAGAAACCACATTTTTTTCTCCACATTGTGATAGAAAAGGGTCCTTTTTAATTATGCCCTGCAGTTCTTTTGCACGTAACGCTCCCATTGACGTCAATGAGATTTACGCACATGGAAGTCATGCAGAATCAGGTCATTTCTGCCTAGTTGTGTAAGTCTGTATCACGTAGCAAAGCAATGGCTGAAAAATAGGGTTATCATTCCTATTTTTTTTTTAATAGGTGACAGTGAAGGGTAGGTAATGGAGGAGGTTTAGCTAACGAAGGGTTAAGGCTACAAACACACAGTACTCGGAAGAAAAGAGTAAGTAAAGATATTTTAAAGGGTTATGAAGATCGACACACAACAGAATATAAGCGAAAGCTTGCAACAGTTTGTCACCATCTAGGAACAGGTTTCACTTTAAATTTAAATTGCTATAGGAGACTGCTCATCTGAGAAATGTTAAGCAAGATACATCCAGGCAAAACATCATTCTATCCTATCTCTATTCACGTGGTGGCTTTTGGGTGGTTTTAATATTAAAAAAAAGAAAATTAGAAGAAGAAATCGCATTTGCAAAACCGCCCTCAGACATGCACACATCATCTGCTAATGCTAGCAGGCATCCAGCGCCAGCATTAGGACTAATCTTTCCAGATTTGTGCTGTCTAGTACCAAAAGACAGCAGTCAAACACGGGACAACATTCTCAGACACAGACACCAAAATCTTTTGCTTAAGATCCATATTTTAGGATGAGGTCTTTTAGGTAAAGATCTAAGAGTTTCCATTTCTAGGGAAGCCCTCATTGATAGCCACGTTACATACCTACATCTTGCATACTTAATGATGGCTACATGAGTGTTCCTCCAGGCATGGGACAGAGCAGCAAGCTTGTAGAGACTGGAATAGCTCCACTTACATCAGAGGTGTTTTACAGATTTACAGTGACTGAAGAACTTGCTGCTTAAATTCATGCTCCTTACTGTGCATGACTGCAAAACATTCTTTTTCAGATGCTTCCAAAATCTGCCTCAGAAAAAAATGTCCTAATTATAACAAAGCAACTGTGCCAGGTACATAATGGACTTTTGACTCCTTGCTTCTTGGCCAAAGGCTGTCACCACACCAAAAAGCCCATTTATCCCATAATGGCAGTGCCAAAAGCAGAACAGCTGAAAGCTTTGAGACCTCACCGTGATGTCCTGGCTCTTTGCAGGACAATTCCTCAGCCCAGTGTTGCAGTCACAGGGAGTATACAAAACACCAACAGGCCACGGGCATCTCAAGGCACAGTGGTCTACCCCATTGCCTCTCCAACACCACCCTTCCTCCTACCCTGCTACAGCCCCTTGGGAGCCAGGGAGAGGAAGGAGCTACAGCAGTCCCACTACTGCTCCCTGAACAGCAGCTGGGTGGAGAAACCTGAATAAAGGCAACATTTCCAGTCTTCTAAGAAACAAGCACGCTGCAGTAGCTGCTGTGCAACCTGAAGGCCAGCTCTGCCACGTGGGCTCTGTGTGCACAGCAGCCAGGAGCCCATCTCAGTCTGCTTCTGGTTTGACACAGCCTTCTGGGTCACCTCTCCCACCCAGGCAGCCAGGGGAGCATCTGGACAGGAGCGTGCCCTGAAGAAGCGCTCCTCCTGTTGCTAGTATTTTAGACATTAAGGTGGAGGAGGGCCCAGGGACAGCAGGATCTGGCATCACCACCTCTCCAGCCCTCATGTTGAGGCAAAAGCCTCAGGTCAGGTGCATACTCACTGAAAGGTCTACATAAAAATGCCTGGGAGAGGTCTCTAAAATTGTATGTGATGAAGTTGGGCCAATATAGCTCCTGCACAGGGATCTGGCAGGAGCACGGGAGCAAAAAAGTGGTTCTCATTTGAAATGGGACAGAATTTTTGTATCGGTCTCAGGACCTGCAGGAATTGTAACAGCTCGTGGGTTACAACATGTTGTCTGTCTTGCCCTGGTTCTGAAGGAATCCCCCAAGCATGTCCTGCAGCACCTACAAAAGGCAACGGGAGACCCATCATCACATTTTGACCTTACCAAACTCTGTAGCAAGTGGCTCCCCACTGCAGGACAGGAGCTAGACTAACCCTTGGAGCAAAGAACTAACTTGGTGAGTTTACCTCACCCTGCTGCTTGTGATTCCTCTCTGGAAGAGAGCCTTTGACTACCTTTTTCTGATGCTCCCTTTTGCCTCTGCGTTTGTGTGCACACATGGGTATGCAACCTATGCAACATGACCAGACCATCTGCACCAGTGAAAGGGTTAACTCAGCTCAGTATCCATGTAATAGCCCACACTGATCCCAACGAACAATTCCCACTACAAAAATGCCAGGCAGCCTCCCCTTTTTGGGCTGGGAAAGCCACATTCCTTTTCTGGAACACAAGCATCTGAACAAAGAGGCTTGTGCCACGGCTCTGCATGGCATGGAAAGCAATCTTTCAGCATGACTGACAGATAAAAATGCACTGCCTGCCAAAGTCAAAATCTCCCACGTGCTGATTAACAACCCTCTCTTGTTATTTTTTGCCAGACAAGAACTGGATTAAATCTTTGCAACAAACAATTTAATTGCACCTCAAAGTTCCCCTCAGATCACTATCTCTCGGGAGCAGATCACACTTTCACCCCTTCGCACTCAGCAAAGAGGGGCTGGAACTGCATCTGGCTCCCTGCTTCAGTCCAAGGCTCGACAAACACAAACCCATCCGAGGGAGGGCAGCGGCAGCGCCCATTCCCCAGCAAGCGGCAGAAGCCATCTGAGCAGTCTCCTCTGAAGATTATACGCACTCTTATCACCGCTGTGAATCCGTCTCTGGCACAGCCTTCCCAAAGGGTTCAGAGAAGGTGACCTATTCCAACGACGCAGCTGCAAACCTTCAGATGTTTCGGAGCAGGAAGGCTACTGAAAGTAACTGATCTGATGGGGTTTTGTTAAGCAGGGGAGGTCAGGAAGGTTGGGGAAGTAAAGGGCTTTCCCATCCTCCACCAGACCGCACCTCCAGCTCCCGGCTCTGGCAGCAAGGCACTGCGCAGGTCCGTGCCCGCACCGGGGAGCCAGAGGCTGCCATGCCATTGACAGCGTGATTCCACGGCTGCTGGCGGGATATGATCCCTAGCGGGATTTCCTACTGCCGCTGTCTAAAGCTCCAACGGGGAATCCTCCTCACTACTCAAAAAACCCCAAAACAAGTTTTCAGAGGAGAAGGGGAGCAAGATCAGCTCTGGGAATGGGGAGCGGGCAACACCGGCTTGAAGGCTTCAGGGCTCCTCTGTGCCCACTCCTCGCTTTCCTCTCCATAGCTGGCCAACAGGAGCCGTTTTTTGTAGGACGTATCAGATCCCTCAGTATTTGTGGTGAACGGGAAAGAGCTGTCTTCTAAGGAGCCAGGACTGACAGCAGGCTGGGAGGATGGCTTTTGCCTCACTATGAGCGTCATGAAGACAGGTAAAACTTATTTGAGACTCAGAAAATAATCAAATGCAGCTTATATGAAGACAGCTTGCAGACTGAAGCCTGGGGAGCGGATCCCGTGCCTGAAGCAGAAGAACATCATTTTACAGGGCAGCACCAGCATGCCACTGCCAGGCAAGGCTGTGCTGTTGGGTGTACCATGAAAAGTTGCTGGATCTGTCCCGTGCCACCCAGTCCTCTAGCATACCCAACACACTGCAGACCTAATGAGTTCAATTCTCACCACTCCAAAGCTGCTGTTGTTTGCAAAAACATCTCAAAACCCAGCGCTGCCTCCCCCCAAGATTACAGTCTCCAAAATGCATCCGGGCTCCGGGCGTCAGAGCTCAGACGGTTAATGGATGGTGTGCAGGATCGGCATGTCTGAACGGACACTGCAACATTTCTGGCTGGGATGGGCAGTCTCCCCAGGCACTAACACACTAGACCAAGTGCAGAAGGCTTTCATGCAGACTAAGATGGTTACATGCAAAGCGAGAAGGCGAAAGGTCCAAGTACCAGGTCAAAGGTTGCCTCGAGCGGTCGCTTCAGTGATCTGACAGCTGGCTGAGTCTTAATTAGCAGGCAGCGAGCACATGATGGCAATGGGCCGGGGAGGGGGGTCAAGCACAGTAACAGAAACAGCAAGCAGAGGTGTGTCAAGAGAGAGCAACATTTTGGGGAGGCGAAGAGAAAAAAAAAAATTAAAAAATGAATGCATTATACAATACATTAAAAAGACGAGGCATGCGCAACATGGAGTGGCTGAGTAATCACCTGGCCTAGAAGCTAGTCAGCTATTTCGCCTCAGTAAACTTTCAAAGTAAAGCAGTATCATGACGGGACATGTGCTTTAGAGCATCTTTGCTGCGGCTGGCACAGCGGGTGAGGAGCGCTCGGGGATTAGCACCTGCAGGTGGACTTGCACTGGGCTTCGGCCCCAGTTCTGCAGCTACATGCCATGCGGAGGTCAGCAGGAGGGCTCGTGGCAAGGGAAGGACCACCAGTGAAGAAGGGAGGTTCAAGCACATTTTGCAGTGCCATCCCGAACCGAGCATGGAGCCTGACCCAGTGCATCTGACTTTGCTGCACAGACAGCAGCCAAGCAGGAGGGAGTAAAGCTACTACTGGTGCACGTCAAGTAACTGCAAGATTGGGTCCCTCAGAGACATCTTCTGAATTTAGATTTGAAGTAATTCCAAATCTATTTTAGAAGGTACACCCATTTGTCAGGCATATGTTTTTTGATCCAAGAAAACTGGGCACCATTCTTCCCTTTATTAAAGTCTTACTCCTCAACAGGTACAGTAAATGCATCAAACCTTGAAAAGTCAATGAATAATGGAAGCTGTTTTGGTAGCAGGGGTGATACAACAAGCCATCAATAAATATTTTAAAGGTTCTAGTTAACAGCATACAAATAAGGTTAATTACATTTTTAAGAGAAGCCAGCAGCATGAATAAAACATGTACGAGCTTTGGTGAAGTAGCAGTGTCCTAGATAATTAGTGAAAAAGTAAAGATTCAATTGTAAAAAACACAAGAGTTTCGTTTCAGAAGGTTCTTTTTCAATAGACCTGGGCTCTTGTTTCAACAATAATACAAATAGTAGGAAATCTAATAAATAGAACTCTGCAGAACAAATAAATACTCCAATACAAATAAGGTCTTCAAATTACATTCCAGGTAATACTGACGCTACAAGGAGGGCAGTTGTTTGATTTCTAGAATCTTCCTGGTTTTGCATTATGTTTCACCATGAATGAAAAGCAACCTCTTTTACTGTCTTAAAAAAAAAAGTTATTTAGAAAAATTTTAGTAGCCTTACTTCTAAATCAAAAAGGAGGCAAAAACATTTTAAATATTAGTTATTTAAAAAGAATTTAAAAAATAAAAATCACAGAACAGATGAGGTTGGAAGGGACCTCTGAAGATCACCCTAGGCCAACACCCTGCTCAAAGCAGGGTCAACTAGAGCAGCCTGCTCAGGACGGTGTCCAGGCAGGTTCTGAGTATCTCCAAGGATGGAGCAACATGTTGTAGTGTTTGATCACCTTCATGGTAAAGGTAAAGAAGTTTTTTCTTATGTTTAAAGGAAATTTCCTGGATTTCAATTTATGCCCATTGCCTCTTGTCCTTTTTTTGGGCGCCAAAGAGAAGAATCTGCCTCTGTCTTCTTTACTCCCTCCATCAGAATTCATACACGTGGGTAAGATCCCCCTGGGCCGTTTCTTCCCTCCCCAGGCTGAACATCCTGTCTCTCATCTCTGGAATAAACAGGTGCCATTTAACCAAATTCAACAGAATGGCAAACATTTACTCCAGCTAGGAATTCGATCTGCTAAGTGTTCATTGACTTGTCTTCAGAACCGTAGGTATCAGAAATCACGCTTCAAATTAAAATGCCGGTGGGATCATGTCTACCAGGTCTAAAGTATCAAATAGGTCAGGAAGTCACCCTTGGTTTGAGCCTTGTAGTTTCACTAAGCCTTGGCAAAGGTATTGGGCACAAGTCTGCTGAACTCGAACAACTGACACCTTGTCTGCTTTTAAGTCAGTGGAAATTTTGCTACTGACTTCCACAGGGCAGGATCTCCCTGCAAAGGATGTATTATGGGATAGACAGTCTCTGCTTTCTTTGTGTACGGTGGAAGCGAAGTTGAGACCTACGACTTAGCCAGGGAAGGTGTTGGTTCCAGGTGCTGCTGTACTTGCATTCATGTCACGTCATGATGTCATGTCAGAAAATCACAGCATTTGCCACCATGTCCCTAACTGGCAAGCCGTACTGTGCCACTTGGGGCTTCATGCTACAGTGAGCACACAGAAAGGATGAAGAGATGGGATTCATATTGCACATGCTCTCGGCTCTCTAGTCAGCCATTTACAAAGCACTCTGCTTTTCCACAAGTGATACATGTGACACAAATGAAATCTCTCAGCAATGGAAATACAGCTTGGTAAGAGCTCTACTTACCATTGCAGCTGCAGCTGTCTGGTTCACCTGGTGTTGAGCTGCCTTGATTTTGGCTTGCAGGTGTGCAGGGGGATGAAAGTACTTGCATTTCTCCCTAGAGCATCGACCTTTGATGTAATCCATGCAAACTGTAACAGTATTTTCATTTGTGTCTATCATTGCAATATCTATAGGGTGAGCATAGCGGCAATCATTCTCACCACGTGTGCAATTTCCACGCTGAAACTCTCGACAAACCTTAAAAGAAAGTCACATTGTTGAGCAGGACAACAAGTTACTCTTCATTCAGTATTTTCAACACAGAATACCAGTTCAGTTGGCCCCATTAAACTACTTGTGTATGCTAAATCCATGCTCATCTTGGGTAGCACATATACCAACAGTCCCGGGGCAACTAGTGCTACTCACGACTGGTTCAGGGTATGAAAAAACCCACATTACCGAGGCCAATTATCAAATGCAAGTGAAGTACAGAATTTGTGCAGAATGGGAAGTGACCCCAGGAAGTCAGCATCATTTTGTCAAAACTTAGGGAGCTCAGGATTCCTCCCCCGACTCTAAAGCTTAAATATTAATAACTCTGCCACTTGTGTCTCAGCTGGATTATGTATTTGTTATGGAGCATACTTTCAGGTACACTTAATTCAAGACGTTGCATGCTGCTGTTACTCACAACAAGTACCTTTCCTTAAATATCAGGAGCCTCTTTCACATAAACAGTCTCACTGCCTTCCACAATAAAACCCTGACCCTGGGGTTACAGGACAGTGCATTTGATTACACTGCAATGTGTTTATAAGGTGTTAGCAATATTGCTAGCTTTACAAAGACCTTGCAGATCCTCGTAAGTTATGCGCACTGAAGCATCAAAGGCAGAGAAAAAGGTTTCACAAAATGAATCTGCAAGGTTTCCTTGTCTGAGGAACTAAGAGAATTTGTTGAAGACTATAGCCGATAGTATAGATCACGTACCAGTGCACTATGAGACCGAGTACGGGGAAAGGCGAAATGTCATGTGAGAACAGAAGCAATCAGCAAGGCAATATATAAAGTACATAACACAAAACAATGTGTTTTGAAATTACACCCTTCTCCACTACCTTCCTATGTTATAATTTACACCTGCAGGGGCCTCTGAATTCAGATCCTCAGCCCTTATCTCCTGCAAAGCCTCTGCTTAGGGTTTGAAAGACATTTATGACTCCTCCAACACTAAGTCCCAGCATGCCCAGCCAACTGGGAGGGGAAGGAGCTGTCTTTCTAATGCCCCATGCCCAGCATTTCCAACAGCGTAATGCTTGCAGCTTTCCATAAAAGCCCAATAAGCTGATTTCAAGACAAGCAAAGTGTCTGTTTCTTCCAAAAGATCTCCCATTCAACTCAGTGAAAGAGCAGACTGTCTACTTGCACTTTTTTTTTTTTACCAAGTGTGGCAGATCACACACAGAAAACAACAACCCTATCCCTGCCCTAGCACCCACTGAAATCAGAAGAGCGAGTGCTCCCGAAGTTCCAGTGCCTTCCAAGGATTTGGGATCAGGCCTTGCACGAGAGTCTGCTCAAGCAGAGAGCAGCAGCCCAGAGTTCAGAAAGCTGCAAGTCACGCTCTGCGCTGGGCTGCATCAGGTCATTCTAGCAGAGAGCAACAGCCGGGCCCACGAGCCCTGTTCATTCCCGTCAGCAGTATCGTATCAGACATCCAAATACCTCCAGTTTATCCGTACGCATCAGTTTCTGCCCAGCAGAGCCTCCTGGTACTGTAACAGTAGGATTTCCGGAAACCAGGACAGGAGTATTTGGTAAAAGCTCTGCAGGAACCAAGCCCATCCCAGGAGAAACATGACTCAGGTAGGGACTAAAAGCCATCGTGGGGCTTGTTGCAAGCGATGGAGTCACAGGAAAAGTTGTCTGTGTACAGAAAGAGGAAAAACAAAACATTAGTTAAAAATCTGTGTCCTGGATTACCTATTACCTTGCAGCATTTCAATCCTGTCAGACACTTTAACAACATCAAAATGCTGTGCTCTCCAATCTATTCATTTACTGCCATTTTCTGGCGATCCATTCGTTTCTCCTGACTCACAGATTCGTGACTCATCCTGAACACCAGGCATCTTTATTTGCCAGATCAAAGCATATTGATGATCTTTATAGTTTAATGACACAATTAAGGATTTTGTGCCAGCAATTAGGGCAGGCCCAAATTAAACAGACTTCTCATTCCCAAATAAATGTCTCAGCTTCTCTATGTCTACACTGCAATGCTGTAGAGAGACCTCAAGGTAAGCTGCAGCTTCAGGACCTGGAAGCCCGTCACTCCATTAGCTACATGGCTGAATTCACTATCAGCCTGCACTGAGCTCCACCTTATCATGGCTAGCATGGCTCAGGTAGACAAATCGGATCACTTAGAGTCAGGAGAGGCATCTCCGCTGCAGTACGCTTGGAGGTCTACCATTCTGCACATGTGGGGTTTGTTCCAGACTGTCATCTACCTCCAGGCAAAAGCAATTCTGCAGGAGTACCCCGAGCCTATGCCCCACGTAAATGACACCAAGGGGATACCAAACTCACTAGTGTTACAATGCGCCAGACCTCGTGGCTTTGGCAAGAGCAGGTGGGTCTTGGGCTTGGAAGAACCAAGGACAGAGCATACCAGATGAGATGGCCCAGGTGGACCAGCACGAGGTCCAGCACCCCAGCTAAGCTGTGAGAAGCGATGTCCCCATAAGGAGACAGAGCACTGAGCCATAAAGATCTTGACTGCTGCTGCTCCTTAAATCGCATCCGGCAAGCCCTGAGAGCGCGGCAGAGCTCCAGCGCCAGCAGCCGAACCAGCTCCCTGCCCCGAACTGCTCCAGCAGCGCTGGTCTGGGACAGGAGCTGCTGTTCTCCAGGCTGGAGAGATCACACCAATCAGTTTAACGTCTGTGAACAGCCCCTATAGCCAGGGAGTCTGTGAGATTTCAAAGCACCAGATCCGAGGTGTGTTTGGGAATGAAACCAATTCCAGCTGATGAAAAATCCCCCCTGCTCACCCCGCAGACCAGAGCCCGCAAAGCAGCACTCCTGCTCCTGTAGCAGGGGCTTCGGTAGCCCCCAGGGAAAGATGCCTTTGACTTGCAACCATTTTTATTCTCCCTCTGCCACCTGCTCCACTGTGAACTCTGGGTTGCAGTTAAAGCTGCTCCCCTATGCAGGCGTACGCGATGCCATCCTCGATAGCTCTACTCTACTCGGCAATAAATGGAAGTGTGCTTACAAAATGGCCTGGGGTGATTTTTTGGCCACACATCATCCACTCCTTGCTTTTATTTTTGTACCTCTAGTCCTGTGGGTTTCTAAAAGAAATCACACACAGACAGCACGTTTCTCAGCAGCATCTTCATGCCAGTACTTTCAAAAGCTAGGAAACACTTTACTGCTTATGATCTAGAAGAAGCTAGCCCACAGTAACACCAGCCAAGCTGTCCTAACCTATCTTTAGCTTAATGATGCTCCCTTCCTAAGCTCAGAGTGACAGCAAGCAGCTCCCGAGCTGATGGGAAAGGAGATGACAGGTCACTGCCAGCCCATGTCCCACTTTCTCCTCCACAACAAGGGGACACGGCCTCCTGAATCAGCAGCGCTGCATCCTTTAAGCGTAGCAGAATCAAATAATCCTCCCTGGGAGGGATATCCAATTTTCCTTCTGTTGAGTTTAAGTCAAGCCCCGCTTCAGCTGATGGGAAGCTTTAACCATTAAATCTAGAGATCCTCCAGGTCCATGGCCCTGTACTAAATCATTTTCTTCTCTCTTTTAGTTCTCTGTTGCTCCCAGACATTTTATACCTTTTGCTGCTAGAAAAGCTCTTTAAGGATCTTCAAACACTCTGACTCCCCGAACACTTTAGTGAGAAGGCAGAATCCATTAGACCACTTTCTTTTGTGCGAGCACCAGTAATTACAGTGGCATCTGCTGAACTTATGCCACCATCTGCACTATAAATGCTACTTTAAGGAGTTTCTCCAGCCTGGCCAGTCTGCACAGGGTTATGCTGGGGCCCAACACAGGTTGTCCGCACTCGTTTTGCACACCCATAGTAGTCCAAACCTTGCAGCACACGTGGCTTGCACAAATGCATGGGCAAGTCTACCCTATGTATTTCCAGCACCCAACACAGCAGGAGTCCTGGGCATCCTGACAGAGCAGGTGTGGCACAGACATTGCTCCAAAACTTCAGGAGATTCTTTAAGGCAGACTTTCCCTGCCTGGGCTCGAACACAACTAGGAGCCAGCCCGAGGACCTAGCTTGTTTCCAAAATGGAGGTGAGATGTTCCTCCTGCTACTCAACCGGAGAATGCCAGGGCTATTGTGCAGCCAGGGAGGAAGGCTTGCAACACCCCACACTGATGTGAATTCACCAGAAACCGGTGGGAAAGGGTGCAAAGCATTCGTGAAGAGGTGATACACCAGCCCCTCCAGCAAAGCCACTACAAACGGAAGGCAGGTCCTGCTCCCTGAAACACAGTCCCCATCTCCAAGGCTGTTCCCTCAAGAGCAGCTCCTCTCCTCACTGGGAACAACTGGGATCTGAACCCAAGCTGAAGAGAGCAGAGGAAGGATGTCCACGAAAAGCAAATGAAGGTGTACCCATGACCCCGGAGACCTGCAGAGGGGTGCACGAAGGAGCAGGACGGGTTTTTATCACTGCCACTGGTTGTTCACCCATTTCCATGCCCTGGCATCTGCTACCACGTTCCCAAGGTTTCAGAATTGCTTCTTCTGCCCACCTGAACCGTGTGCCCGGTGCCACTGGCTGAAGCGACAGCTCTGCTCCACACCCCGCCCACGGGCAGCAGACCGACCCTCGGCAGCCACGTAGGCATCTTCTGCAGATGCGCAGCGAGAGAAGGAGCAGCCCTTGCTCAACACGTTCAACCTAGCAGCACTGGGGTTTTTCAAGTGTGAAGTGTGCTAAGTGCACTGACAACTGCTCCTTTGTAAGCTGGCATCAGGGAGCTCTGTATTTATTGTGGCTGATGAGGGGAAAAGATGGGCTGCGCTCACTGCCAGCCCCGACTGCCTGTCTTGGATTGGGAAATCCAGTCTGGCTCAGGCATCAGTACCAGTAATAAAGACGCTGCCAGCCAAATCTCTCCTCCCTTTACGTCTGTGCAGGTCCCCCGTGCCAGGCCTGTCCTGAGGGAATATGAGTGAGCTTCTTCCTTGCAGACAGAGCCCAACTGTAATTTTTTACTCCAAACAGCACTGCTCTCCTCAACACGCCTCCCATCCACCTCTTGCGGTAGCACCCAGCCAGGAGACCTGACAGATCAATATTATGACTGTACACTAAAAAAAAAGTCTCAACTTTGTTGCTGGTGTGCTCTAGGGCAAAACAGATGGATTGAAAGTATCAACACTTATCCCTGCCGTCCCCCTTCAAGCTCTTGCAAATTCAGGAAATACTGGGGCAGGTTTCCTTGCAAACTACCTTTTACCAACCACAGCACATGCAGACACTACTGGTAACTGCTGAGCAGAGGGAAACAGGTTACGGTGCAACAGCAGAGGGTTTCAGAATGGTAACGGCTCTCGAGACTGGTTTACTGAGCATTAAAATTATTGTAAAAATTTAAAAAAAAAACCCACAACAAAACACAAAAAAATGAACAAAGAAAGAAGCTGAAATGGCTGTTGTGAGAACACATCTCGGGGGGAGGGTTGCCAAGGACTTGACAGCTCTGAGCTCCTCACAGACCCCGAGCACAGGAGCTGTCGGGTTGAAGGTGTGAGCAGAGAGAAGGGACCGTTTCAGGGAGGGGCATTTGTCACCACTGGTGGTGACAGAGCCTGGAACAGCTGATTTTGTTAACAAACTAGAAGTTGCATTCAATTTGCCTAGCAGAAATCATGCTAAAGCTAGACAAAAAACACAGAGTGAGTGCGAAGAGGAAGGCAGAGGAGCGGCTGGTGTTTTGTCAAACACAAGCGCTGTCTCAGCCAGGAAGTGTTGATTCCGAGTTACCGCAGCCCCTAAAAAGGGAAAGCCTGAAAATGAGAGACCCAGTGTAAATACAGAGGTGTTAATAGCCTAGAGGAGAGGAGACAGGTTGCTGCTAAGCAGCTACACACGGAAAGCACACAAAAACCAGTGACAGCTTTTATTATAATCTGGTGATAGAAACATAGAGGATAAAGATCTCGTACTGACAAGGTTGAAGACCCTGATATTGAAAACATAATTGATGCTGTTCAGAAAAAGCAAAAGCCTGTGTTCCCCTCTAGTGTAACTGCATGGGGCTGGCTGTAAAACTACTGCTCCAATGTGAAGGCTGAGCACACTGGACTTGAACCCAACTGGCCACAGCATCCAGCCACCCATCACCACAGACGCTCGACTCCCCAGACTGTCCACAAAGACACGCTCCTAGCTCAAAGGGTATCTCACTTGTAGGCTGCTGTAGTGTGAAAGTCAGGTGTTAATGCCCCACAGCACTGTCTCTTGGCAGACATCAGCTCTTCAGTGGGCCAGGGGATGTGTGTTTCTTCATTCCTAGTGTGTCTTTGACTGGAGGCTGAGATACAGATCAGGTTTTTGCTGCATGGAACAAATACGTGCCCAAAACATCTGTCGAAATCTGCTCCAGCATTTGTTCCATGCATCACTGGCCAAGTGAGTTGGTCACCCTGTGCTTTAACCTCTCCATCAGCACCAAGGGGCAGCAGCAGGGTCCCCAGGAGGGACGCAAGGCTGAGCTAAAGCCTGGACTGTCTTCAGGGGTACGGGTGACTCAGAGCTGTCAAGACAGTCCTGGCTACAGAGAGCTTGACAGGAAGAAAAGATGAAGAGCTTGAAAACAAAGAGAGCTTGGAGAGGGTAAACCCCTTCCCAGGGCAGCAGCAGAGGCAGCAGCAGGGCAGGAGGGGAGGCAGCTGCCCTGCTCCACCAGCTCAATGCAGAGCCGGTGCTGAAGCACCTCCACAGCCCGCTCCAGAACTCTGTCTCACACTGCTGCAACGGGATAAAGCAGAATGGAGCGAGCAGGCACCAGGCCCTGGTGCAGCACTGTTTGGGTGGCCTTGCTTTGGCACATGCATCGCTCAGAGTGACTGTATCTGAGACACCAGCCACAGCACTGACTGAAATAGCTCTCCATATTGATGCCAGAGCCCACCTCTATCCACCTTCAACCCGACCTTTACCCAGACTAACAGAGACAGAGGCAAAACCAGCCCAGAGAGCTTCCAGCACAGCTCAACCAAAGCCAGCAGTCAAGGTGAATTTGGACTTTTGAAAGTCAAAACATTACTAGTCTTCCCACTTTGCACCTACACCATCTCTCCAAGGTCCCTGGGAGACAAACACACCGTGCTGAGTAAATACTCTGCTCTGTGTCCTTGTCTGACTTGTTTTAAAGTACTGTACGAAGCAGTCTGCTTAAAACTGCACCACGAGCACTAAACATTCATGTGATTCTCAGCTTTGCATCAACGGTTATCAGCAACATCAGAAGCAACCACAGACTTCAGAGAAATAAGCTCACACTAGCAACCATTAATTCACACCTAGCAGGCTTCTGTGAGCAGCGTGCAGCAAGCAGCCCACCTGGGACACGGTTCTTCTCCGAGCAGCACCTTCATTAAACAGCCATCATCAGGGTCCCGGCTCTTGGTTCAATGGGAAGATGAGCTCCTGCTGGATGTCAGCAGTGGTGCAAGATGATCTGGCAGTGAATGTTTAGACACAAGCTCATAGACAGACATATTCAATGCCACTTCAGGAAGCGTGGTGAAAAGCTGCTATGGCAAGTGCCTTTTTTTTTGTTGGGGGGTGTGAGGGGGTGTGTGTGTGGAGGGGGGGAGGGGTTTGTTTTTTTTAATCATGGTAGCTTTTCTGGTGAAAATGCACTTTAAAGTGTCTAAGCATTCAGCTATTGTTTGGAGCTATTAAGCACGCTGTTCCAAATCTCATCTCTGGCAAGCATCCCAATTAAGCAGGCATCCCGTTGATCAGCTTTCTGATCACATAGGATTTGTTCTGCTGCTGCATCTGATATAATACTTTCTGCTTTGAAGAATTTCATGTGTAGCCAGAAGGAGGCCCCACCCTTCTCATTCACAGAGAAAAAAAAAGAAAATTCTCAAAGCCTGCTTCCACTGGCAGCATCTTCAGGAAATTAAAGGCAGGTGAAAGAGCAATCTCTTGTTT